GGAAGAGCGCACCCCCCCCCCCAACCCCAGACCCGTTTATCTCGGAAGGGAAAATGGAGAAAAGCCTTTCAGAGATCGGAAAACCTCTCCTTTCCCTTCCCCGTCCCTCTGTTTACACCACATGGCGACCTGGCCCTGTGGTCGTGTGCTCCCTAGGCGTTTACGCTTGCATTCAATTGTCTGTCTCTCGATGCTTTTTGTTATTATTCCTATTTCTGATTTGCCGTGGTAAAAGCGAGCCTTCCTCCCTTTTTTCTCGCCACCCTCCGTAAAAGTTATTTTGCAATTGAAAATGGGCCCTTAATCCCGCTTGACGGACTGTTTTAATTTTAATTTAAGTTCGGCTACCACTGGAAGCGTGTAAACAAAACTTCTTTTTCTTTTAAATGCTGTCTCCCAAATTCCTCCTAATTATAGCACTGGTGCTATTGATTCAAGATTCTGTAGGAGAAATGAAACCTGAAAGTGCCTCGCCATTTAATTTCCATTAAATGGAAAACAGATCAGCCTAGGACTGTAAATAAACAGAAGTTGCCTACGGATGCTTTTGTTGACTCAACGCTGTTGACAGCACATGAATGCACCCGGAATTGTAAATGGGAGAAAAATCAAAGACGCTGAAATCAGACAACTTAAAATAATGGGAAATGTAGAATAAAATGGCTATCTTTTTCTGCTTGCCGTACGCAGTGAAATAGAAGATAACCCGGTGAGAATCAGTTGGGAGAGGAGTGCATTTTGATTCACAGTGGTGGTGTTGGGTGCTCTAGGTTGTGTCTGCTTGTTCAGTCCAGGACTTTTAGCCCCTTCCCCTAATCCTTGAATTACGCTGCCACTGTGTTTTGAACAGAATAAACGGGTACAGAGGAATATTCATAAGATGACCGTGAAATCGAAAATTATTTATTGCCTCTTTGGAAAAAAATGTACCACAGCAATATATCCTCAAGTGTTGTCACTGAAAGGACAAGCACTTGAAAGCTTATTTTGGCTTTCAGTTGGGAAAGGGACTTAAATTTAGAGCGGAGAGAAATGTTGTGTTCCACAATCGACCTTTTTTATTTTATCCATAGCGTTGCGTCCCCGGGACACTAGCTTACCCCAGTCCTGCCGCAGCCCCCAAGGTAAATCTCTGTCCACCGGGAAATATTTAGATACCTATTCGCCAGAGCAGCGAAGTCAGGACCCGGCGCAATGCTCCCCTGCTGAGGACAGGGCTTTGTAGCGCGTTCCGCAGTGGCTGCGCGCTTCAGGAGCTCGCAAATATTGCCTTATTTCCTAGCAGGCCGGCGGTTCTCTGGGCTCTGCGGCGGGAAGAGGGATTACCGTGGGGAAGGAGAAATGGCCAGGCGTGTAGTGCGGGTCACAGGGCAGCGCCTCCGCCTCTCCCTCCCCCATCCGCCTCCCCGCTGCACAGCGGCG